TCCCTGCCCCCCTTCCTCTAGTTCTCTTCCCCTTCCCCCTTTCTTCCTGTCCTCCCTTTCTCTCCTCCCTGCCTCTCCCTCCCTTTCTCCCCCTTTCCTTGCCTCCCTTCCTCTATTCCTCTCCCTTCCTTCCTGTCCTCCCTCTTTTCTCCCCTCCGTCTCCCTCTTTCCCTGCCTTTCTCCCCACCTCCCTTCCTCTATTTCTCTTCCCCTCGCCTTTTCTACCTGCCCTCCCTTTCTCTCCTCCCTCCCTCTCTCCCTTCCTCTATTTCTCTTCTCCTCTCCCTGCCTCCCTCTTTCTCTTCTCCCTCTCTCCAGCCTTCCCCCAGTTTTAATGGCCCGGGAGCAAAGCCGCTCAGGGTCCAACACCTGCAGGAGTCCCGCCGGAGCTTCTCTACCCGCCTTAAATGCACCTGCTGCCGCTCTCCGTGGCCTTAAAGCGCTTATCCCACCGAGTCTGGAGCCGTTTCCTCCCACCCCTTCGCAGCAAGGCACCTCTTTCGGGTTTTTCCCATATTAATCCAAAGATCCTCTCTCCCTTCCCCTCTTCCAAAAGTTATTTCCAAGAGTGAGACCACCCACCGGGATCTTCACCCTCCCCTTTCTGGAGTTTGCGGGCGGAGAGAAAACACACAAATTGCGCTCTCACACAAACGCAGACACACACGTCCCTCTGTAAATTACGGTGGTGTTTATTTGTGCCTCCTCAGCAAACAAGGCGCGGCTGTGTCTAATAGAGAGAGAGAGAGAGAGAGAGAGAGAGAGAGAGAGAGAGAGAGACCCACAGACACTTCTTTACGGAGCTTTTTCAGTTCCTTATCTGCCTCCAGACCTTTCTGGTTGACACAGGTGTGCCTTATTGCAACTTTGATAAGCCCCATCAGACAACACATTCATTTCTGATTCATGCTTTTTAGCCAAGGGAGGAAAATTGAAAAAGGGAATTGATGTATTATTATTTTTATCCTGCCTTTATGATTGTTTATAAGGTCAATATTGGCAACACAACAATCCTTTGAGGTGGGAGAGAGAGAGAGATTTTTCATGCCTAAAATGGAACTAAATCTCATGCCTCCTGATTCATAGGCCAGCATCTTAAACCACTAGACCAAATTTCCCTGAACTTTTGCAAGGGTATCCACAGGATACAATCAAAACAAACAAGATGGCAGCCAGCAGCCATTGTGCAATCAATGAGCCTCCCTTAAAAAAAAAGTTTTTTTTTAAAGGTAGAGCTTTGATCACACTATTGAAGCAGTGCTTCCCACCAGACAGTCTGCTTTGCAGAGGGGGTTTCCTGAATCTGCTAGATCCTCAACAGGTCTGTGGACATGACCTTGAGGAAGGAATGGATGAGCCATTAAAGGAAAAAAAATATTTGGGTCTGGGAAAGTACAAAGAGAGAAAAATGCCCTAGTCCAGACAGCCTTTTGTTTGTTCATCTGCAGTGTGACTAATACACAGGAGAGAAAATTTGGCCCAGCGGGGGGGGGGGAAAAAGATCCTTCCATAATACAGAACAATAAACTAAGTGGAATCTTGGCTCAGGAGACAGAACTGAGTCATGACAAAAGATCACTCCAGGGAAATAGGTTTGGGTGGGAGTGGATTAGGCTGGAAATAAGAACCTCAGTTTTGAACACAAGCAGATCATCTAGAAGGCGGGAAAGTTTAGGATCCAACACTTTGCAGCTACACAAATGATGTTTACAGTAGAGGTGGGCAACTATGGCCCCTTTATGACTTGTGGACTTCAACTCCCAGAATTCCTGAGCCATAGTAAAAGGGCCATAGCTCCCCACACCTGCTTTAGTGGGATTATGATGTAATCTGGAAATTCTGGCTACTTTGGGAACATAGAAATATTAAGCTTTTTAATACCTAGGCATCAGGTTTCAAGAACCATACTTGAAAAGTTCCTTCTGTGTATTATACCACAGCCAGTCATGCTAGGTGAGGAATCCTGGGAATTGAAGTCCACAAGTCTTAAAGAAGCCAAGTTTGGAGATCTCTGCTCTAATGTAAAGCTTATTTTACCTATCTATATGTATTCCTTTCCCTTTCTTTTGCTATTATGAATTAAATGACCTTATTCCATGTTCCAGAGCAATGAATGTAAACTGGCATAACAATAGACTCAGCATGTTTACTATATGCCTAGAGCGGCTTAGTTTGGAAGCCTCAACTTCGAACTTACCTTTATTCAAAACCTGAGATAACATTGAGATAATCTACCTCCCCGAAGCCATACCCCACAAAGGTTAAGGATCCTGATCACAGGGATTTCTCCCAAATATCAGACCAAGAAGCACTCTGCCATTTCAAAACGCATTTTTGATTACCTGGTGCATTGAATGAATGTGATTTAAGACTGATAATAGCTCTGCTGCTGCTGCTATCATTAAATTGCTAAGAGTTGGAAATATTTTCATAATTGAGTGCAAATGGATCAGTAGACTATAGATCCATTATTGTAAGGGTTGGTTTCCATACGAATAGAGTGTCAAGAGACTGTGTGATGTAATTCAACATTCATAATAAAATAAATAGGGCTGGTTAGAGTTCAAATGAGTGAAGCAGCATAAAAGCATTCATAATATCTAAATGTAAACCACCAGCTACAAGTTCCTCCATTAACGGTGAAAAAAGCTGGATTATAGGAGAGCTTTTAAAATGAAATTTGAAACCTCTGCTATAAATATCTGGGCATCTATTGGCACTAAATGAGAAATAGTTCAGTGGCTGGAACTGTTGTGCCTCTATCCTTTTCTTCTCCAAAAATCTTGCTAAAGAAAACTGTCAGAATTGTGCTTGGAAATAATTGCTTTTGGCCTTCGATAGCTACCAACAACCCTGAGAATTATGCTAAAGTAGGAAAGACATGGAATCAGATAGTCTTTTTGAAGGAAGCTTAGACACAGATAAATTTGTGTCTAGCCAATTTGGCCATATAGTATATACATATATATATAGGTTTGGTTCTGCAACCCAACAGGACAGACACAGACTTCAGAGGATAATTAGGACTGCAGAAAAAACAATTACTACCCACCTGCCTTCAATCGAGGACCCGTATACTGCACGCGTCAAAAAGAGGGCTGTGAAAATATTTACAGACCCCTCACATCCCAGACATAAACTGGATATTTCCAAGGACAGTTTTTCCAAGGACTATCATCAAGTGTTGTACCTGATGATTCTTGACTCTTGATAAATGTATCCTTTCTTTTATGTACACAGAGAGCATTTGCACCAAGACAAATTCCTTGTGTGTCCAATCACACTTGGTCAATAAAGAATTATATTATCTATTATATTAGTATTAGGACAAGTGTTAAAGTGAATGTGATCTGGAGAGAAGAGAGTTAATGCACACTGGTTCAAAATAATTTTTGTGACCTTAGTTCTACACTAATTCTGAACCACAATGGTATTGCAGTGAAGAAGTGGAAATATTGAAATAACTCTGGAATCTCCCAATTTTTCTCCTTTCATTAACAATATTTTTACACATCTATCTTTTCATTTGCTAGAAGTAAAAAAATGACTCGATGGGCTTGACTTGTGACCACAACGGAGCCCAATATTTCTGTTGCTAAGCAAGGCAGTTGTTAAGTGAGGTGTTCCATTTTACAACCTTTTTTCGCTGCGGTTGTTAAGGAAATCACTGCAATTGTTCCGTAAATCAAGTGGTTGTTAAGTGAATCTGGCTTTCCCCAGTGACTTTGCTTGCCAGAGCCCAGCTGGGAAGGTTACAAATGGTGATCATATGATCCCAAACATTACAATTACATGCCAGTTGTCAAGTTTTGATCACGTATTGCTAAAACAGTCATACGTGTGAAAACTGGTCATAAGTCACTTTTTCAGAGTCATCATAACTTTGAAAGGTCACTAAACAAATGGTTGTAAATCAAGAACTGACTGTAATCAATCAATCAATCAATCACAAGGTATCTGTGAGGTCTAAAGGACAACTGAGACTTTCCAATGGAAATCCATCCTTTTCTCATCACTGATCTAACTAGTCTCAATTGGGAGAAGTTAAGAGTTCAGGTCAGACAAAGACAGAGATTTTCAACCATGGCAGGTTTAAGCTGGATGGACTTTCCGCGGGCAGCCTAGATGATCTTTACAGCCCCTTCCAACTTCCCAAGTCTATGGCTCTACAACTTCGTTAATTCCTGCACCTTGAGAGCAGGATTAAGGGACAACCTTTGCTGGAGGCCACTCAGTCTCCTCTCTGCAAACACCAAGGATAATTCAGTCTTCTAGCTGAGCAAAATAGTTTAATGTCTTCACAGAAAATATAACGAACTAAGAACAGCTGAACAGAAACAGGTCCTCCTTGGTTTTTCAATGAAAAGGTTTCTTTCCCAACCCTCAAACATAGAACAGGCCCATCCGAGCAACTTCGTGCATCCTTCAATTTCAGATCATCCTCTTGAAATTCTGAACAGCTTCGTCTGCCTTCTGCAGTTCTGTCTCACTTTGTTTCAGCTGGGAAAAAAAAATGCCCAAGACAGATGTGTTGATAAATTTGTCAGCATGCCTTATCCTTTCTTAAGAGCCTAATATGGAACTTGGACAGGGGACTCAATGGAGAAGTTCAACTCTGGGGGTGGCTGTTAGATTGACAGCAGACTCCACCCTCCACCCACCTCACTTTCTGTTCTCCATCTATTTTATTAGTCATGTCAATGTATTTTGTTTTTTTTCTTTTTCCTTACTTAATTTATTGGGTTTTTTAAATTTTACTTTCATTTTGTTTAAGCTTCTTTTTTATTCCTTCAGGATTGTTGTTGTTTTTTGTATGGTTGTGAGCTGCCTCGAATAGCCCTCTGGCCAGATAGGCGGCCAAGAAATTTAATAATAACCATCTCTCAATTGCAAAAGACAGCTTTACTTGGAATAGCTTACATCCTGTGACGATACCTCTAAAACCATTAAGAATCAACATCTGCCTATCCAAGGCCTTTGGAAAGGACATGATAGGTGTATAAAAATGCCAAATCCAGTATGAAAATCTGGCTGAATGTGTGATTAATCAATAATGATGATGATGATGATGGACCTGCATCACACTTCCCATTTGAGTTCGGAAGGGTCTTCTTTGTAATTACCCTCAAGAAATATGCAGAATGGGCAATGTATGGCCCTCAAAGCCTCTTTTCTGTGGTCTTTCATTTCAACAATGTGGTTTCCTGCCTTTTTAAGATGAAAAGCATGTAACAAAGTAAAACTGCCTAAAATAAGCCTCTCAGGTTAAAAGGCAAATAAAACTCCAAGGACTTTTTTAAAATGCTTGTCCCAAAGATGCTTTTTCAAAAGACAACTGGACTTAGTTTTTTTTCCCCCTTGAAGATGTTTTGCTTCTCATCCAAGAAGCTTCTTCAGTTCTGAAGAAGTTTTGCTTCTCACTTGCTTCAGTTCTGAAGAAGCTTCTTGGATGAGAAGTGAAGTGTCTTCAAGGAAAAACAAAGTCCACTTTGTTAAGGTATTGAGATTTAATAGCTGACCAGCTGTTGTAAGGCTGCTGTAAATGCTGATGCAATGAGGATGAGTCAGCAGTTATTGCTGCTTTAAGACTAAGGATGTGTCAGTGGTGTTAGTGCCACTTTAAGAAGCTGTCTATGTAAAGGAGGCCATGAGAGGGCATTTCTCTCTCTCCTCGTGTTCTATCTCCATTGTAGTTCTCCGTGCAGAGTAATGAAGAGTGACTGCTTGCCTGGTATGTGCCTACCACGTATATGTATGTATATAGTAGTCTTGTATATAAACCACTGTTAAAAGACAAAGCCTCTGTGTGCTGTGTTGTGCTCCTGGGTTGTCTCACAATAGTAGTCATGCTGCAAACACTCTGACAAGTTGCCTTTGGGACAACCATGACCTAGATGACTGAGAATTTCCCTAGACTTCTAAACTCCTTCCCACCACATTCCAAGAAAAGCAAAGACCACAATGTTAAAAGTGATCATTGACCCCCCCAAATTGTCCACTCCTGATTCAGGATCTTCTAAAGGAACCAGCAACTTTTCTGGGCCCGAGTCCTGAATGCTGCATCCCCAAATGGCTAAAATCTCTTAGTATCTTATGATCGTGGAGTTTTTGGAAAGTGAAAACATTAACAAAAAAAGAAAGAAACTCTCTTTTGGGACATTTGGTCTCTTGACACCCAGAGGTGATGCAACGGATCAAGCATCACCCCCCCAACCTGATTTATAACAAAGCAAGCCCCCAAATGCCAATCCTGTATGAGTTACCTTGGCTGCATCCAATTCTTGGACTTTGGCTGGTACCTTCAGAGCATAATCTTGACTCGCCATACGCTGGCGTAACAGTAGGATTTGTTTCTGCAGCTCTGCCTTTTTCCCTGTCAGTTTGGCTACCTCCTTCTCCGCATCAATCAAGCCCTGCCAAGGAATTCAGAGAGTCAGCAATGCTAGATACTACCTCACAGGCACCGCTACAAGTTGAGAGTCACCGGTGAGCCACCCATTTCAGAATTCCCTGTCTCTCCTGTAAGAAAAAATGAAATATGCGCCCCGAAACTAAGGATCCCGTTGGTTCTCCACTGCCGGTCGACATTTTGTGGCCTGCTTGATTTTTTTAATACCTTCAGCAGAAGATGGACAATGCATTTGTCGGAGGCTATAGCTACAGCACAGCCAGGGGGAGGAATCTTTCCGGGTTCTAGTACCAGGACTTGCTTGGAGGAGGAAAGAATGCAGATATATTCGGAGCAACGAGTCACGGCCTCCGCTGTCTGAAGATCCAAGCACTGTAGGTAACCTGGGAACAGATGAATAAGAAAGGAGTGTCAGAGAAACTGAGAGGAATAGGTGGCCCATTGTCCTGTTTTCCTTTATATTGTCCCTTGTAGCTTCATTGTAGACGGCAAGGAAGCCCTTGACAGAAATATGCAGAAGCTATGGCCTAGATCAGGGGTTACCATCCTTGGCAACTTTAAGACCTATGGACTTCAACTCCCAGAATTCCCCAGGGTAGCTCACAGAATTGTGGGAGTTCATGTCCACAAATCTAAACGTTGCCAAAATTGGACGTCCCTGAGGTAGACAAAGGGGCTGAAGCATTTTTTAAATTCAGAACTGACAGATAACATTTGGACTTCAGTCAGATACCTTTCTAATTCACAGAAATATAGAGAGAAGGGGGTTCAGATTTGCAAGATTCTACTATGATAGCCAATATTAATAAAAGTTATCTTTAGACTTCCTGTGGAGTTAATTTTCTGGTTTGGTCATGACCTCTAAGATCAAGGCCAGGCAGCTTGCTTGGGATGGGAAGTTGCATTTTTGGACTCAGTGCCTGATGACTTAAAGGCTACAAAGAGAGTGGGAAAAAGGAAGTTTGAGAAGTAGAGAAGAAACTCAAGCTGATGGCTCAAAGACAAGTGGAAGAAACCACGACTGGCTTTCTCCAAGTAGACCTTTTAAATTCATCCAGCCCTTCGAAAAAGCCCCGGTATGGAATAGCTATCCTCCCTAATGGAGAACTGACCCATTCCCTCAAAAAGGAGGGGAATGCAAGGCCCAAAATCAGAAACTTCAACTTCTGCTTTCCAGGTGTCTCTTTCTTTGGTTAGATGCATCAATTCATGGAATAATTCAAAGAACACAGGGGCCAAAGGGGCAAATAGAAGAAATGAATCCTTCTCTCTGCTGCGTTGGGGTCTAGAGTTTGGATATCTGCAGCTACACATCGGCTCCCAGCTCTCTATGCAGAAGATATCTCGCTAGCATGGGTTGAATACTAATTTAGCGCTTATTGGGGTGGGGAGATCACCCAAAAATGTGCCATGGAAAACCTAGGCAACATGTCCTTGCAGAGAGAGAAATACTGATAAGCTCCACACACTGAACTGGGATGTTGCAAACTACCGATCCATTTCAAATCTATGAAATCGCTAAAATCATTATTATCTCCCACTACAAAGCTAAGATCAATGCTGGGGAATGATTTGTAGCTGCAGGGATATTAAAGATTTTCCAACTCCTCCAATGAGACTTCAAGCTTAATGACTTCCAAAAGTTTGACCTGGTTTGCTAACCCATTTTAATTGTTCAGGAAGGCTCCAGATTTGGCAGGCCTGCAGTTTCCAGAATTTCAAGCCAAAGACAAAACCTGGATTCATAGCTTCTCATTCATTCATGTGAAAAAAATCCCAGAAGGGTATGGCTAGCTGATGAGAGCTAATCTAGACTAGTCTCCCTTTATTTTTTTGTTGGTAAAACAGAAATTCAACACAAAAATAGTTTTGTTGTGAGAGCGACTGCCTGCGAAGGCTCCTGGATTGGGGCTGAAAGGCTGTTCTGACTCAAACCTTGTTCCAAGGAAACAAACACAAAACGGAGGTAACAGCAAAACCTTTTAATGATTCTTTACGAATTCCGTTCCTTCCCGGTTAAAAGGTTGTTTCAAACAAATTGTCTCTGATAAGAATGAGCCTTGCCAAGATTGTGCAAAGCTGTCAAGAACACTAGATCAAGTTGCTAAGAAATAGTTCAGACACAAAGAGTCTCCACTAAGAGAGTCCGAACGTCCACAAGGCTTGAGTGCAAAACCTTCTTTGCTTCCTGCAAAGAACTCCGGTTTCTCAGCTGGCTTTTATCTTTTAAGGGAGAGGCCATCACCTTGCAGCCTTACTCCCGAGTCGCCCATGCTGCTGCAGCTGCTCTTTCCTTCGAGCAGCCCTGCACGCACACACACTGGGCACAATCTCCTCGGGGGTCTCTTCATCACTGCTGCCAGCCTCCACAATCTCCAAAGGCAGCATTCCACTCCCTGATGGTCCTGGCCCCATCCCTGCATCACAAGCAGGCCCCTCATCTGAGTCCTCGCTCTCCGAGACCTCAGCCATCCGTACCTGCTGCCGCCGAACCACAACAAAGGCAAAAGCAGAAGCAGTATGCTCCGTCCCATAATTGGGAAGAGCAGGTTGCCCTTACAGACCAATCTCACCGGAAAAAAAACACCCCTTCAGTGAAAAACTCACAGTCAGCTTTGGTTTTGGTAAGGTTGTAGTCCGACCGGAGGAAACGCAGAGCCTTGATGATGTTCAAGATGAAGTCAAAAGTGCCGTCCAGTTCTTCATTCCTCCAATGGAACTGAAAAGAAGGCAGAAGCACGAGCGACTCGATTTAATTTTCAGTTCAACAAAATGAAAATGGACTAAGAGAATTTCTTTCGTTTCAAAACAGGTAGTCCTCCATTTATGACTGGCCATTTTATGATCTTTTGAAGGCATAGAGGCCTATAAAGCAGTCTGGCCATCGTCAACATTGCCCTGCCCTGCCATGGTCATGTGACTCAACTTTACTCTCCATCGTGGCGTTCCATGGTCTCACATGACAGGCAATGTTTTTTGCTGGGTTTCCGGCATTTTTTACCCGTTTCCATTTTTTTAAAACTTTTATTCAGATGAATGGGTTCACTTAATGACTGCTGGGCTTACTTAAGGACAGCAGTATTCATTTAATAGCCACTGTAAAAAAAAAAGCTGGAAAATTACTTCTGGTCCACCAGATTTATGATCCCAATTATGGGAAATGGTGTAGGGTCTCCCGCTTGGGCGGGGGGTTGGACTAGATGACCTACAAGGTCCCTTCCAACTCTGGTTATCTGTTATGGTTGAAAGTCAAGAATGACCTGTACTAATTTTCCTGTTTTAGTACTCTTAGACTGTCAAGCCTTACAGCCTTATCATTTTATTTCATGATGGTTACACCTAGGATTATGATTTTGCAGGAACCCAATTTGGGTGCTGTTCCTTTTTAACTGTTTGAATGTTTGGATTTATTTCCAAAGGAGCTTCTGGGATAGCATTTTGTTCCTCCTCAGGTTGCACTAGAGCTCACCCAACAATGCTACAATACAGGATAACGGAAGGGACCTTGGAGGTCTTCTAATCCAACCAGTGGTCAAGCAGGGGACCCCACACAATTCTGGATCTTCTGGAAAACCTCCCGTGATGAACCATCCACAACTTCCGGAGGCAAATCCTTCCAGTAATTCTCACTGTCAGGAATTTTTTCCCTTAGTTCTAGGTTGGATCTCTCTTTGATAAGTTTCCGTCTATTACTCCTTGTCTTGCCCTCAGATGCTTTGGAGAATAGCTGAGTCCCCTTCTTCCTTGTGGCAGCCTCTCAAATATTGGAAGACTGCTATTGTCAGCATTCCAGGGAACCTCCATTCCAATCAGTAGCTCCGAGACAAGCATAATCTCAAAAGTACCTTTATTAGAATAGCACCTGGCACATCTGTGGAATTTCAAAACTTCCCACAATGTCCCAAACTACAAACCATCCCCTTTTTCCCTCGTCATCACATCACATGAACCAATCCCAAAGTAAATTCCCTTTTTCTTCTGCGCCACACTCTATGACCTTGAACTAACAAAATATTTCTATTTTGTCTACTTAGAGCAGTGGTTCCCAACCTTTTTTTCGCCCCGCACTCCTAAAGAAATTTCACTCGAACCTCGCGCCCCCTGAAATTTAGACTTTAGGAACTACTAAACGCGTTAAATATATGGTAGGATTGAATTTTTTCAGCTATGTATGTGATGGCCACTAAATAACAATACTTAACTCTAAAATGAAAACAAAGTTAATCCATTGCATAATAAATAAACATGCCAACATATAGCCAATATCCTATTATTTACCTGGACTTTTCTCGCACCCCCTGGAATATTGTCTCACACCCCCAGGAGGTGCAAGCACCCCAGGTTGGGAACCCCTGGATTACAGCTACTCAATAAAAATCACCCCCTCCCACTTTCTCAAGCTATGTGGCAGCGATGGAATAAGGATTCCAAAGTTGACAGCTATCATGTCACCCCTAATCCTTCTCTTCGTTTAGACTGGACATATCCACTTCCTGCAACCGTTTGTTGTATGTTCTATCCTCTAGTCCAGTGGTCGTCAACCTGGTCCCTCCCGCCCACTAGTGGGCATTCCAGCTTTCATGGTGGGTGGTAGGGGTTTTGTCCCCTACTTTATAAATCACCATTACTGTGGAAACAGTGGGCGGTTAGAGTATACTTTACTACTAACAAAAGTGGGTGGTAGGTATAAAAAGGTTGACTACCCCTGCTCTAGACCCCTAATCATTTTTGTTGCTCTTGTCTTGACTCTTTCTAGAGACCCAACATCTTTTTTATATCGTAGTGACCAGAACTGGGCACAGTATTCCAAGTGTGGTCTTACCAAAGTAGTACAGTTGGCCAGCTACAAGCTTCAGATTCTGTTACCCACTCACCTGCTCAGTAGTAGGGTAAGGGGTGACACAGATGCTGGGCGGGTCAGAGGAAGGAGACCGCCGGGGCAGCCGCTGGAACAGTTCCTCAGTGACAAAAGGCATGAAAGGACTGAGGAGACAAAGACCAGCATCCAAGCAGGTGTATAGAACATTCTGGGCTGTCTGAATTGCGGCCTGGTCTGATCCGGCAAACACAGGCTTTAGGCACTCCTAAGTGGAACATTGAAAAAAAAAGAATAAAAATGTAGAAGGTGAAACACTGGCTACTAACTTATTATGTGGTTTTTTTCAAAGTCTTACATGGAATAGACTAATTAATGAAGGCCATAATGAGCCACGCTTTGGGCTCCCTTTTAAACTCAGCTTCACAAAACCTTTGTGTCCCCTATGATAAACAGGCAGAGAATCAAATTCAAACTTGGTATTTCATGATGCCTTTAAATGTTTACTAGATTTTGCATTGCCTTAATACTTTAGGCGTTCATAACAGCGTTACAAACTCAGAACAATTTTGTGGAGGGGTCTCAAATGAGTCTGTACTATTTGTTGTTGCAACTTAAATCAGATCTACTAAACGGATAAATACGGCTTCAGGAATTGACTCACTAGCAAAATCAGAGCTAGTCTTCAACCCATCGGGGTCTCCCAAATATAATGGCACCATGAATGAGAGAATCCCAGCTAGCTAGGAATTCTGAGAGCAATAGAACATAAAATAATTGCAAAGGACCTTGGGTAAGGCAGACCTAACACCATCCCAGCCAAATGGCTATCCAGTCTATTTTTGAAAACCTCCAGGGATGGAGCACTCACAACTCCAGGAGGCCAGCTATTCCATTGATTATTTTTTCTCACTGTCAAGAAATTTCTCCTTACTTCTAGGTTGGATCTCTCTTTGACAAGCTTCCACCCATTACGTCTTGTCCTGTCCCTCAGGTACAGTTAAACCCAACCAGTCCAAGAGACACTAACTTGGGAAAATTACTCAAGGCCGATGACAACAAACCTATGACATATGTGTCAAAGGAGACACACCATGAAGTTTTGGGTGACATGCCAGTGTTCACCAACACTCAACTATTCTCAAAATCACTCCCCATTCCTCACATTATTTTTGGAGGCTACAAGGCTGCATGAGAACGGGGTCTGTTTTACCCACGCTTCATTTTTGTCATTATTTCACAATTCTTTATATAGACGTAACTGGACTATTTTTTTTCATTGCATAAATAAGTAAAAGAATTGTTTCTCTTTCGTTTGGAAGGGGCAGCGACACACCAGCTGAATCAAGTTAGGCCTTTCCTGAATTTTTAACATGGGAAGGTGGGATTCAAATATTTTTACCGGTTTGGTGGGCGTGGCTTGGTGGGCCCACTTTGCGTGCCTGCGCATGCCAAATGCACGCTTTCCACAGGCACATTTGCACAGGCGCAGAGGCGTTCTAACTCACCTCCTGCAAGCCTGCACAGTCCTGGTCTCTTCAGCAGCTGCCGTGCGGCACTCTCCTGTGCCACACAAAGCAGCTGCGCTTCAAATTCAGAGGATAAAGGTAAGTTTGGGAACCCGGGCAGGCGGGAAGGCCCAACAGCAAAGCGGCAAAGAGAACCATTTCAGTCTCTGCTGCTCATCGCTGCTACCAGCTCGGCCGAACCAGGGCAAACCGGTAAAATAATACCACCACTGGTGGAGACCAAAATGTCCGCCATCACCGATTAAAGGCATTACGCCTTATGGGCAATAGTGCAATATCTGTAATGGAAATGTTATGCCTCCCAGGATGAAGCGGGATGAGAGTTTGGTGGCTCAGGGGTCTCACTCACAAGGTAGACGTCACACAGCTCATACAGCCAGAAATTGTACACTGCGGTAGTGATGCCAGAGAAGTCATAGGCCTGAAATCCCACGTTGCATAACTCCACGGCGTGGCTCAGGCGACTCAAGATCCAGAGGTCTACGAGGCTCTCAGAGCCACTGAGCTGCAACAAACAAAATCAGATTAGTAAAGAAGAACTTCTGGTAAATCCAGAATAATGAACGCTTTGTACCATTAAAAGGAGAATATTTGTAGCTCAGGGTTGAAATGAGCTTGTTTGTTTTCTTGCAGACCTTTCATTACCCAAACTAGGTAACAACATCAGTGTTGGTCCTGATGATGTTGATGATGTTTGAGACCAGCATTGATGATGTTACCTAGTGTGGATAATGAAACACCTGCAAGAAAACAAGCAAACTCAGACCGCACCAAGGACCCGCTCTGTACCAAGAAAGAATATCTAAGGAAAATTGTCAGGCACAAAAGATCAGGACTGTAAGTTAAGTTGTAATTCAGAACTACAAGTACTCCTCCAGTTAGGACTACAGCTGGGACCATTTCTGTTGCTAAGCAAGGTTCTTGTTAAGGGAGCCGCATGCAATTTTGCCTTTGCCACAGTTAAGTGAATCATTACAATAATTAAGTTAATCACGTAGTCATTAAACAAATCCAGCTCCTTCCATTGACTTTGCTTGTTGGAAGCTGGCTGGGAAGGTCACAAAATGCTGATCAGATGACCTCAGGACGCTGCAACCATCATAAATACTTGCCGGTTGCCAGGTGTCCGGATTCTGATCACCGACTGTAGGGATGCTGCAATGGTTTTTAAATGTGAAGACCGGTCATATATCACTTTTTTCAGTGGTGTTGTAGCTTTGAATGGTCGCTAAACAAATAGTTGTAAGTCAAGGACTATCTGTATTTATCACTCAACCCTATAGACCAGAATCTTGTCAACTGAGTTCAAATATGAACTGGCACTAGATAAGGGTCAATGAAATTTAAGGGAGGCTGGACTTGGATCGTATGTGGCAACGTAAGGATTCTAAACTGATGACATGTTTAACTCCGCCCATCCCAGCATCACCTGCTCTTCTACAAAAATAGAAAAGAGAATCTAGAAGAACAGGCTTACCTCAGGGCTGGGGGGTGGCTGGAATCCCTCCCTAAGACCACGGATGGCAAATCTGGTGGCGTTCCAGAGTTTGTTGCAGAAATACCGGTAGCCCAGAATCCGGTTCACATCCAGGTTTATATCCCGGCCTGAGGAGAGAAAAACAACAGACAGACATTATGAGAGAAGCCAACATGAAGGCAAGGTTAAGAATTCTGTCACCACATTGAGCCAGGCTCTCAAGCAGAGCCTGGAAATGTACCTTGAGTTGTGTAAGCGCAGAGAGCAAACCGAAGGGCGTCCGTCCCACATTCTGGGATCCCGTTGGGGTAATCCGATTTCTGCAAAGCAAGCACCGAGGTACACATTTGATCTTGTAAATTTTTGGCTCCAGTTTCAAAGCCTTCTCTCTAAAAATGTATACAGGTAGCCTTCGACTTTCAACAATTGAGCCCCAAATTTCCATTGCTAAGCCAGACAGTTGTTAAGTGAGTTTTACCCCCATTTTACGAGTTCTCTTGCCAAAATTGTTAAGTGAGTCACTGCGGTTGCTTACGCTAGTAACAAGGTTGTAAAGTGAATCTGGCTTCCCCATTGACTTTCTTCGTCGTAAGGTCGCAAAATGTAATCACATCACCCTGGGACACTGCAAGTGTCGTAAGTATGAGTCAACTGCCCAAGTGTCCAAATTTTGATCATGTGACTGTGGGGGATGCTGCAATGGTTGTAAATGTGAAAAATGGTCATTACCTCGCTGTTTTCAGTGCTGTTGTAACTTTGAATGCTCACTAAATGAATGGTTGCAAGTCAAGGATTACTTGTAAAACCCTTACATTCAAAGCTGTCAGACCCAAAACAGGAAATTCAGTGCACCTCCAGCCAAGATGCACAAATACAAATACTATATTCTGGATGAGTGTGACATATGAATGCTATTTAAAAAAAGCTACTGAAGAGGGAATATATTCAGAGAGACGCCATACTCTGCCACCACCCAATACAACAAAAGAACATCCGTTTGAGGTCTATCAACATGAAGCAAAGGTTAAAGACAATAGAAAAATATATACCTGGCCCTTTTTGGCTCGCTCCAGCTCAAGTGGGTCCAAATTGCTGTCTAATAACCGAGCATGTAAACCCTACAGAGACAGAGAGAAAAAATGGCGGTCTTTCATAAGATGTATAAGGTTATACTAAGAGAAACCTCATTTGCAATCTTTCCCCAATCTGGGGGGATGGGGGGAGAGGAGGAGGAGGAGAAGGTCATGTCCCTGTCGGAATCTGATTCGGAGGGGGAGGCCAAGCAGCTGACAAGGAGTGGGAGTGTGGCTCCGTTGACTGTGGAAGAAACTGGGGAAGGGCAAAGCTGGGGAGAGGTAGAGCAAGGGAGAGGGAATTTGGGGGAAGACCCGGGCCCACCCCTCTTCATCCTAGGGCACGCAGGGAGGAATGGAAAAGGGAGCAACGTGAGTTGCGTGGCTTATGGGGGAGGAAAGGGCCCTGATTCCCTTCATTAGCTGTGGCTGGAAACACAGTATTTAAAAAGGGAAATTGTGCACAACAGTTGTTGGGAGCAAATCATGAATTAACTGGTATCATCGAGGCTTATCTGGGTTCCTGGCGTCTTCCCAACTGGGTGTGTTTTGCTGGGCTTTCAAGTCTGCAATTCCTTCTCCTGCCCTGTCAAGTTAATTATTGCAGCGTGGTTTGTGTGGATTTTTTTTTTACAGTTTATATGTACTTTGTTTTTGGGCTTAATTTCCTCCACTTAAAGATTGTTCTTGGAAGAGTTTTTTTCTCCAGCCGAAGGTAATCTGGACACTGGGGACAAAGTTGGAGGTATTAAAGAGACATTTCTGCTTATTTGACGGTGTTGCCTTTGTGCCATGCCCCCAGGCATCACAAAGGAGGAGGAGGAGGAGGAGGAGGAGGAGGACAAACAATAAACAACAAACAACCTGAACCTAGTTGTTTCCCTAGTAACATCAGGATATCTCTGGCCACTCCTTGCAGCCTTTGCAAGTCAAACACAGTAGCCTGAAAAAACCTACCCACGTCTGTCATACTGAACTGTGACAAAGCTAAAGGCAGCCACACATCCCACCGCAGCCCTTGCAGCAACTGAGTCAGAAGCCACAACAACTGGGGTGAAAAGTTGACACACAGGTCTGGCTGTTAACCACATCTGACTACCGCTGCCTTCAGCCCAGCCCCAAGCTTCCTCTTTGCAACTATTCACATGTTCCCAACTGATCTGCAAAAAAGAACCAAGTTTCCGATTCTCAGGGGAAAGGCAGGTCTCCTGACTGCCCACCACAAGAGGAATTCCTTGCAGATGTTTCATTACCCAAACTAGGTAACTTCACCAGTGTACTGATAACGTTACCTAGTTTGGTAACAAAACGTCTGCAAGAAAGCAACCAAGCTTAGAGAGCACCAAGGACCCCTTATTTCAACTCCTGAGCTGCAAATATTCTCCTCTTATCAATCCAACAAGAATCTAAACCATCTTGCAGCTCCATCTTCTGACAGCCACAAACCATGGGTTCACCTCCAGAGTAATGCCGGTGACCACATCCAAGGGATCTATGACATTTCCCAGTGATTTGCTCATCTTCTTTCCGTGGGCATCCCGAATGACAGCATGAAGGTAAACCTGGAAAGGAAGCACGGAACATTAATTAAATTTTGAGGGAGACTTGGAAACGGGCAACGCCGTTTGGAAACCAATCTCAAAAGAGGTTTGGCCCTTGATTTTTCCAGCCTGACTCCAGGCACGGGGTTTAAGCAAGGCCACTGATGAACAACAATTGCATATCTTTCTGTGTTGCATTACATGCACCGGGGCAGCACAACACCCACGAAGTTCAACTCAAGAACGTCGCGAGACTCATCCAGTAGGTTTCTGAGCTTCAGTTAACTCAAGGTTTTTGGGTTGCCTCTGTTCTGCCACACTGCCCTGGCCCCATGTCTGCTTCTGACGCAAAACCCTTGTCCGAGCCTTCCTCAGCCTCCAGGGACTGGCCCATCTTCCTCCCCAACCTCTTCACTGTCTGACTCTGCTGCCAGCTCTGCTAGCCACTGGCAGGCCACAACAGCCTCAAAGAGGACTAGCCCCTTGTGATTTAGATTGGACATCCCATTCTATTGGGGGTGAAATTGGCCTTCTTGCAATTAAGGCTTCCCTGATTTGGCCACAGCCAGAGGAGGGGGGATGGAGAAGTGGAGAAGAACTCATACAACCTGTTATGCCCCTGTCGGAGTCTGAATCCGTTGGCTGTGGAAGAAACTGGGGAAGGGCAAAGTCCAGAGGGCAGAGCAGGGGAGAATTAGAACAAGGGAGAGGGAGTTCAGAGGAAGACCCACCCACCTCCCTTTCATCCTAGGGCACGCAGGGAGGAATGGAAAAGAGAGCAACGTGGGTTGTGTGTCTTACGGGGGAGGAAAGAGCCCTGATTCCCTTCATTAGCCACACCTAAGAAGAGAGTTTAAAAGAGATGCATGCTGAGTGCGACAACTGCTGGGAACAAACATGAGTTTATCTTGTGTTTACTTTGGTTATCTGTGTTCCTGGCATCCTCCCAACTGTGTTGAATTATTGCTGTTCCTTCACGTCTGAAATTCCTTCTCTTGCCTTGCCGGACTAATGACCTCATCTTTCCTTGATTGGACTTATAGTTACAGTTTTTGTTGACCACATTTTGGACTTGATTCTCTGCAGCCAAAGGCTGTTCCTGGGAGAATTTTTCTCTAACCCAGAAGGTAACAAAGATATTGCGGGCAAAATTGGAGCTATAAAGGAATTAATACTGATTATCTGACTGTGTTGCCTTTGTGTCACACCCCGGGTCATCACACAACCTGGCAGGAACAGGTGTTCGTTTCTCACCTCTCTGAAGGGTAGCTTTCCTGTCAGTGTGAGGCCCAGCATAACCATACGGGCCACCCAAAAGAACAGAATGTCATGTCCGGTCTCCAGGAGAGTTCCAGGGTAAAAAACCTGAAGATCTTCACCCTTGAAAGAACAACACGGAAAACGTGAGCGAGATCTGAAGAGCAAAGAAATGCAAAGGCATACCTCTTCACTTCACATTCAACTTACCGAATTGGGCCACCCAAAGATGGAGAAAGGGAACAGGCCAGAGGAGAACCACGTGTCCAGGACATCCTCATCTGGAAGAAGGACATAAGAAAGGCACACAGGTTAAGAGTTGTACTTGGCTTTCCACGTTTCAACTTCTAAGTAGCTTAGTCTCTCCCCCTCCCCGAGGGGAAAAGCGTATTTCACAGCCCAGCTTCCAAACCTTGGGACTCTTGGTGATGTTGGGTTGCAACACCCAACTAGGTGAGCTAGTAATTCTGGGACTTGCATCCCACATTTGGACAGAAGCAGGGGGAAATCTTTTGTTCTGCAAGGGTTCTGGACTTAAGGTGAAAACAGAAAGTTTGTGACATGGAAGGTGCAAAAGAGATGTTTGGGAAGCACTCAAAGTCAAGTTTAAGCTCTAACTTTAAGCTCCATCATCTCCAGTTGCAGGTGCTCAAACGAAGAAACTGTGTTTTTACCTGAGGCTCTGAAGAGACCTTTAAGCAGAATTTGGTTTATTTATGCATAGTTTTAAGATCCTAGCTTTGATAGATTAAAACCACCCAGTCGCAGATAAGAATTGGCCAAGGGGAGGTGAAGATTCCATAACAAGTTCAGAAGCCAGGAAGAGTTTGACTAATCTTGGAAGGCAAGAAGTAGAGGGAAAGCTGGCATCATCAGGTCAGAAGATTGAACTAGGAGAATTGGAAAAACTCTGGAGTCCTTGGTGCTCTCTGAGCTTGGTTGTTTGTTTGCAGATGTTTCATTACCCAACGAGGTAACATCATCAATGCTAGAAGGGGATGGAGTTGGCTCTCTGTGCCTATATACGAGGGTTATCCACAAAATAGATTACGTTTTGTGATAGAAAAAAAACAAAGTGTAGGAAAAATTTTTTATTATATACACTTGAAAGTGACACTTAAATACTACTTTTCAACATATTCACCGAACAAATTGAGGCACTTATCATAGCGGTGAACAAGCTTTGTAATTCCATTGTCATAAAATTCAGCCGCCTGAGATTTGAGGCAGTCAGTCACGCCCGCCGGCAGTTCCGCGTCATCATCATCAAAGCGTTGTGTTCCAAGCCAGGTCTTCATCCTCGGGAACAAGTGGTAGTCGCTTGGTGCAAGATCGGGGTCACAATGCTCAGATGTCCACTCCGCTGTTCATCATGAACGTTAGTTCGTCCATTTTTAAACTTAATGCACCATTGGCGCACTCCACCTTCAGTGATGATGTTGTCCCCGTACACTTCACACAGTTGCCGAAAAATTTCAATCGGTTTATGGTTTTTTACCAACAAAAACCTTATCACTGATCGCACCTCACAACTCGCGGGATTTTCAATTGCAGCACACATTTCAAACGCTTGCTGTGAAATAACGGGCAACGATACGAACCTCCCACTAGCACGACTAGATGCAGACTGAGCAGCGGACGCACAGACCAAAGATGGCCGCGCTAGCTCTGCCCCTTCTTGCTACAGACGAAAACGTAATCTATTTTGTGGATAGCCCTCGTACAAGTGGTGTGCCCTGTAAGCGTTATGTGAATTTTGTTTTCTTCTTGGAAGTTTCTTGATTACATTGTTATTTATTGTCTGAGTTAGTAGTTCCTTGATTGGGGGTCTGTAGAGATTCTCCATCATCCAGGTCATGGTTGTCCCAAAGGTGCTTTTTTCAGGAGGCAACTGGATTTTCTTGTTTTTTCTTTTGAAGACGTTTCGCTTCTCATCCAAGAAGCTTCTTCAGCTGTGACAGGATGGTGGGGAATGGAAGGATTTATACTGCTTGCAGATAGCTGGTCATTTGCAAGAGGGGCGTTGTGGCCACTTGGAGGTTTATCTCAGTGGTGGGATTCAATTTTTTTTTACTACCGGTTGTGTGGGCATGGCTTGGTGGGCGTGGCCATGTGACTGGGTGGGTTGTTGTTGTTGTTTTGCTGTTTTGCAGCCTCCACCTGTTTTGGGGGCCTTCTGGGCCTCAGAGGGGCCTTTGAGGGCGGCGTTTTTGCTCCTCCGAAGCACAGAAGGCAAAAAAAAATGGAGGGGGAGGGCTAAGCCATTTTTTGCCTTCCTGGGCCTCAACAAGGGGAATCCCGGCACAGCTGATCGTATGTACAGCTGATTGTTGGGAGGGGAAAAAAAGAAAGAAATACCTTAGGCGAACGTCAGGCGGGTGGGGTGAGTGAGCATCGGGCGGGAGGGCGACCGGATCAGGGGCGTGGCCTGCCAGAACTTACTATCGGTTCGGTGACCCACGCCAAATTATTGCTACTGGTTCTCCCGATGCGGTGCGAACCGGCTGAATACCACCACTGGTTTATCTGTGTCCTCAGGATCACCCGAATGGTGCTCCTGGTTCCTGGAGACTGCGATTTTTCCTTTGGAAATCCATTCCTACTCCATTTCAAGGCTGCTCATCCCAAATTATATCACTAAAAGTCTGTGGAGATTCTCAGTCATCCAGGTCATGGTTGTCCCAAAGGTGCTTTTTTTTTTTCAGGAGGCAACTGGACTTTCTCATTTTTCTTTCTTTCTATGAAGACGTTTCGCTTCTCCTCCAAGAAGCTTCTTCAGCTCTGACAGGACAGTCAGAGCTGAAGAAGCTTCTTGGAGGAGAAGTGAAACGTCTTCAAAAGAAGAAAAAAAACAAGAAAATCCAGCTGCCTCCTGAAAAAAAGGACCTTTGGGACAACCTTGATTGGGGTATTGTTTACTGCTGGTAAACAATCTTATCTGTTGTTGGTTGCATATTAATCCTGTTGTCAATCCCTACTTATTGGAGTGTTGCTTGCTAGCAAAGAGGCACTTGAGTCTTTTTGTTCATTTTTTACTTTGCTTAACAACTGCGGTCTCTAAACGAGGACTACTTATAC